CCTTTGTTAGACTTGTTTTGTCCTGATTTTGCTTGCTAGGTTAGTAAAACATGGTTAGCTACTATTGTAAATCATCTAGGATTGTTTAGTTCAAATTTTTGGAGCAAGGTTGTATTCAAATTAATTCAAAATTTGGCTTCAAAAATAAATTCCCCAAAATTAGGGTTTTGAGCTAAAACGTGGACTTTGATCTTACAATTCAAAATCTAGAAAGAATTTGGCTTTGGTCTTAAAAGCAAAGTTGTAGAGAATTAAATTCTAAGCAACTTTCATTTTTGGACTATTTTCAAAAGATGTCATTTTCTTGCTCAAAATAATATTTGAAAGATGGCATGTAAAAATTCCTTGAAACTATATTTGAAAAGTATTTTTTTTTCAAGGGCACGCGCTCGCTTCTACAGCCCTTTCTTGGCCCCACCCAACATCCACCCCGCATCCCGCCTTCGCCTCGGCCCAGCTCGATCGCCATGGCCCAGTCCACTCAGCCTCTTCTCTTCTCCTCCATTGCGCGCCGATCACAGTTAAAGTACGCCACCGCCACAGTGAGAAGCGGCGCATGTTGGCGACGCCGGGCCGGGTGGTGTCCCCAGGCCCCCCAAGCACGCATCGCCTCGCCGATATCACGCCACCGCAGCTCCGCATTCAAGCTGTCCAAGCGCAAAGACTCCCCACTCACCCAACCCCGGCAGCAGCTCCTCCCACAAGATAGCGAAGCCACCACCGAAGCGCCATTGCTGCCCGCCGCCGACGATTTGCTCCTCCTCCCGCGCCTCATTCCCGATTCCTCCCGCCCGGCTGCTCCGCCTCGTTAAGCTCTTCGGTTGCGCCCAAGGTGTGGGCTGCCGTGAAGACGAGGTGAGAGGCCGTGGTGGCGATTTCTTCTTCTCCGCTCACCATGGCAAGCTCGCCGGAGCTTCGTGCCACAGAAGCGACCCGCCTCAACCTGTCATCCTTTTCTCACAGATCTGCACTGCCGCTCTGCCTCATGACCCTTGTGCGCGCCTTCCCATGGCTTGTCAGGGCCGGAAGCGCCCGCCCATGGTATGCATGCCACACAGGTGCTCGCCACCGGCGTAGGCGTGGCGCCTCGCCTCGGCCGATCTTTGGGCAGATGGCCGTGGGCGAACCTCGAGCAGTGCCGCCGCCGCCTCTTCGCTCGGGCCGAGCCGGCCAGCCGGTTGGGCTGTGGGCGATTCGTTTCACAGGCCGCCCAAGAGGAGTAGAAATAATTGCTTTTCAATTTCTCTTTATTATTTGAAAATAGAAATGGGTTGGAAAATGTTTGGGTACTCAAATTTGCTCCAAATTTGTTGAAACAAATTTTGCTAGGTTCCTTATCACCAGATCTACTTGGGAAAATTATTGCATGTCATTTTTGAGATACTTTTCTGTAGAACTTTATTTAATCATGTATATTGCTGATAACTTGAAAAATGTGTAGAAAAATCTATAGGCTTCAGAAAAATATGATTCCAAGTTTGTTAATCTTCTTATGTAATGTGCTTCCTAGGAAAAATATGTTTCATGCATGAGCTGTGGGAATTTTTTTTTTGGTGTAGTTCAAGTACCTTTAATGGCTGACTTTTGTTATTTTAGATAGAGTGCAAACTTTGTATAAAACATGCATGTGATAATTTTTGTACAGTCATTGTATGCTATGAAGAACCTAGGAAAAATACTAACTCTGTTGTTTGACACTTTTCACAGTTCAAAGTATTTTTATGTTCATAATCTTGCCATGCCCTGTCATTTTTGTGTAGACTGTTTTACTTATCCAAACGCCATGAAAATTTTATGGTAGTCTATTTAGAGTAGTACTATGCTACTGTAATTTTCTTAGATTTTTATAAGCACCAGAAATATAGGTTGCTGTTGTAGCCCTAGTTTAAAATAAAATAAAATAATCCTTTTTAATGCAAGTTAGTTAATAATGTTAGCTTTGGTGTATCATTGAAGCATTTAATAAGATGTGTTGACTTAACATATTAGTAGTAGAAGAGAATGCAGTAGATGACATGTGCTTGTAGTATATTTTCTTGGATGATGTTGACTACCTTGCATTCCAACATATCCATTGTATTCATCTCATCCGATGCACCGATTGCATAAGCACTTACGCACATTGCATCATACAAGATCGCAAACCGAGAACCCAGTCGTTATAACCGAGGAGCCCGAGGAGCAGTTCGAGGTGCAGCCGCAGGAAGTGCCCGAAGCCAACGAGGAGGACGTTGAGGAACTTCCAGAGTGCCCTGATCACCGTCCGAGCTCCTTCGAGAGAGGCAAGCCCCGGAGCGTTTTTCTCCCAGTTTGCAATGATTTGATTAAATGCTTTACTTTAATTGATGCATTACGTTCAGAAGTTGTTTGCAACCGTTGCTGCATTATACCTTGTTTACCTTTGTTATACTATATCCTTGTTACCCTGGTATCCGCAGTCGAGTCAATGCTTATCCGGCTTAGACCGGTAGAAGTCGGTGATTTTCTGTCACCGCGAGCTATAGGTGGTTACTGGATCTCGCTTGGATGACTATGAAGTCATGGTATAACTAAGTGTTAAATGAAGTTGAGACCGAACGGAGACTTGCGTAGTTTTGACCGTAGTGTTTCCGTCTCAGTGTCGATTAAGGACCGACCGTTGTTGGGCCTCGAGTCATGTTGAACGATGCCCTTACATTTAGTGGCGGATAAAGTACCTTCCGACCGCTGAAGCTGGGAGGTTTTTTCGGGCCGAGTAGATTGCCCGCAGCCAAGACTGTGTGTGGAGCAGTGTGGTAGGACACGGGGCGGGATGATAAGACCAAAGTGCGGTCGGTCGGCCCCGGTTCATGTGGTTCCCGGCAAACTCGAGATACACGGAAAGTTGACTCGGTGATCAATATCTCACTTTAGCGGGTGAGTGAGGTTTGTGTAAGGAAATAAATCACCACCGGTTAGGAATCGATTCGAATCACCATCGCTCTCCCGGATAGTGAGCACTTGACTTGAGTTACTTCATCGTAGTAAATGTTTATGGAACACTTGGATGGTTATAATGAATATGACAAGATGGAAGTTGTTTAATGATCATTGGTTATCATTATCCGCTTAATCACATGTTTACTCTAGTATAGGTGCAAATCTAGTTGACAGTTCATAATAATTAACTTGGCAATAATGCTTTTAGAAAGGTTCTTGAAATGCTAAAATGCTTCTTTTGCAAATGAGTCAGCTACCCTACTATAAAGCCCTTCATAATCCTTGGTGTCATTTATTTTCGGTTATGTCGGGTAAGTCTAGCTAAGTACCTTCTCGTACTCAGGGTTTTATTCCCACTTGTTGCGATGGGCGGATGTATTACTACTCATCAGATCAACCGCACTGTATCCTCGATGGTGATGCTTAGGACCATGGGCATGGTCATTCCTTACGCCTCGCCTAATGCTTTTATTGGAGATGATCATTCGCTGGCACTATATTTGAACTCCGCGTGAGTGTGTGTGTGGTTTGAACAAATGGCTTCCGCTACTTTTATTCAAACTTGTTTTGTAATAACTATGTTTAAACTCTGATGTATCTGAGATTGCGAACTTTTATGTAATATGTGATGGTGACCGCTAAACTTATTACGATCTTGGCTGGAATAGAAGTTGGTTTGAAATCCTTCGTGATTTCACGGACTACCGGGTTATACGGGCTTAAGTTTGCTCAATCGGCTGCTCTGGCAGATGATTTTCTTACTTAATTTCGTATAATTGGTCGGTTCTGTTACAGCCACCCCCTTCCCTTTCTTTCCCTTTCTTTTGATTCGTTTGTTCGGATTTCATCCGATTTCCCGATTAGGGTTAGGGTTAGGGTTTGGGATGGCCACTGTTGTCTTTTCTCGAATTGATTTCTTGATGGGTTTGAAGTTCGGTTTCCAGTTGAAACCATGTTATCATCTCTGTCCCAAAACCCGATCTAGGGTTTGGTTGTATCTTTTCTTTTCTTTTCCTGAACCCGATCTAGAGTTAGGGTTAGGTTTTCTTTCATCCTTTCTCAGATCCGAAGGGATCGAGGTTAGGGTTCAACCGAACCCTTTGTCGGCCCAAGCCCCTTTCTACATTCTAGATCCGCACTGGATTTCTATTTCTTAAGCCAGATCTATACCTAAACCGTGGCTCCGATACCAATGTTAAAACTGTTGGATCATAGATCTAGCCTTTGACTGTCTTATTCGGTATAACATGTAAAATGGTAGATCCTAATACATCTAGAACAATCTAGAGAGAGACAGGGAGAGAAGGGGAAAGGGTACCAAACCTGAGACCGCAGGGGTGGAAGATCCAGTGGCCTCCATCGTTTCGGCTGTGTAGGTCATGCAAGCACGGGCAAATGACGGCCGGGGAGAGTTGGTGAAGTCCGGCGACAGGGTGATGTGCAGTGAAGCCGACGGTGATGACGGTGGCGTCTTCCCGTCGCTGGCTGCGCACCCTTGCTAGATCGGACTTAAGGTTTGTTGGTGGGGCGGATTGGCTCACGGTGAACCTCGTACCTCGAGCCGCCGACCCCCACCACTTTATATAGCGCAGTGCAACGCGGGCCCACCAACCATGTAGGGTTGGGCGCCCTCGATCAGGGCACGTGACCAAGGCCCAATAGGCTTATTGGCTGAGAGATCAATCTAACACCTATGTCCCAAATTATCTGTCGCTTTTGGTTTTCATGCCGCAAGTTTGACTTGATTTGTAGAAAATTTTGTGTAACATTTGTATCTCAAAAATAAATTTATTAAAAAACTAGATTCAAAGATCTTTCCAATGATACCAATTATGTACCATAAATATTAATTTTTTTAAACCAAAGAGAGGGGAGAGATTCCCCACCAAATTTTCATTTCAAACGAGGACAACACTCCATTTAACTGGAGTGAGCTGTAGCGTTACAGGAGAGGAGATAATTGCGCCAGTCGTTTAGACTGTTTACATGGTCAGCTTTCAGGCGCTTGCGCCAAACTACAAAATCATTGCAAACTCTAGAGATTACAGCACGGCTGCTAGAGGTTTGTTCCTGAAGATTTCGCCGTTCCTTGCATCCCACAATCGCCACAGAATTGTCAGCAAGATGAAGGGCCAAATGCTTGCATCAAGGCCGGGAGGAACATTGGAGTTCCAGATTTCAGCATCAGAAAGGGAAGCTGTATTGCTTAGTCCAATTTCCCCCCAGAGATCTGCACTCGCCGAGCAGGCGAAGAACACATGGTGTCGGTCCTCAAGTGATGCTGAACAACGCTGGCAGTGGTCATCATCCACAACATGCTTAGAGTGAAGATTAACTCTCGTACTCAACCTGTCTTTGAAGTACAACCAGGTGAACACTTTAACCTTGTTCGGCACACGAGTCCCCCAAATGCGACGCCCGTGCACATCTGGAGAGTCGTGTGTGCAGTCAAGCGCGGCGTAGGCATCTCGGGCTGTGTAAGGCTTGCCGGTTAGCTTCAGGAGCCTAGAGTCAGTGCCATCTCGGAGGTTGTATTCCTGCAGACAAGAAACGAGGATGCCTAGCTGTGCACTAGCAGCATTAGTAAGCCGTGGTCGTAGGCACAAATCAAACCCATTTTGAAAAACATATTGCACCGAGACGTTAGGCCCAGTGGTATGGGAGAAGAGGGCGGCGTGGGAAGAGCAAAGGGGACCATCAGGAAGCTAATGATCAAACCAGAAGGAGGTAGAAGCGCCATTATATACATTAACAAATGTAATGGATCGATATGTGTTGAGCTCATCAGTAATAATTTTCCAGAGGTAGCTATGTATTTTTTAATATATATTTTGTCAAAGTTGTTTATAAAAAAGGAAAAACGATTGATATTTTGGAACGGGGGGAGTATACGGCATCTTCTCGCTCAGGGTTCACGGGCTCTAGAGGCCTGGAGGGACGACGAGAGACTACAGCCGAGGTCAGGTGGTACGCAATCTTATGTGCGTGCCGTGTATTGTTTGATGGACCACAGCCAATTCCTGTATGTAGTTATCTCTTCTTGGACGCTTGCGCGCATGCATTTCACAGTAACAGGCTAAACCCCACGGGTACTCCCTCATATCACAAATATTGGACGATGTAGCAATGACATGGGCTTCGAAGTATAGATTTAATTGATCATATGTAACTTTCTACCATGTATTTCCTTGGATCGTTAACATAAGTTTTAAAGGTCCTGTTGTGTCCAGAATCTAAGGATGTGTTTGGTTGGGGAGCGAGGTAGAATGTAATCGTTCTATTCCAAAATTTAGCAATGGAATGGTTCCATGTTATGTTTGCTTGCAAGGATGGAACGGCTCCATTTGTATGTTTGGTTGGAGGGATGAGATGAAATGGGATAACAGACTGGTTAACGTCGTCAACTATAGGGCCCACATGTCATAGAAATAGGAGCTTCTTCCTCCTCCGTTCTTTTCCAACCAGCACCACCGGAACTCCTTGCTCATGCTGCCCAGCTAGCACCGCCACCCATGCCTACTGCATCCCCACGTGTGAGCTTGCACCGCCGCCCACCTGCGCGAGCTCGCGCCGCTGCACCCAGCCCACCCACCGCGCGCCAGTTGGGAGCCAAAGGAGCGAGTGCGTCCGACCGATTTTTGGGAGTGGGGGCGTCCGACATCTCAAAGGAATATTCTTAGGTTGGATGGTCATTCTCATGTCACGTGAAGCAAACAGCCTAGAAACTGGATGGAATGGCTCCATCCCACCTCATCCATGAAACCAAACCATCCTAAGAAAACAAACACTTACTAATATCCTAAAAAATAATAGCCTTTTTGTGGCCCTTACGAGATACCAAGCGGTACACCAAGCTCTGACTTTTTTAGGTAGACACAAAATTTCAGTACCTACTCCCTGTGTAATTTGGTGGTACATTTTGGTCCCACCTAAGAACCATAAACTGAACCTTAAAAAATATACTACCTTCAAATCCTTGATGTTGTCTTAAATCAAGATTTTTAAAATTGATTAAATTTATAGAAAAGTGTGCAAAGATTTATGATACTAAAATAGTATCATTTGGATTGATACACCATAAAATATATTTTTTATAATGTGCATGTTTGGTTTCATAATTTTTTTTATTATTTTCTACAAATTTAGATAAACATAAAAAATTTATTAAATTATTATTATAGTTTATTAGAATTATTATAAGTATTATTATTATTAGACAGGTTACTATTATTAAATTATCACTACGGTTATTATTATTATTATTAAATCCCATTAATACTAGAAAGTCACTACTTGCCCATTAATACTTGCCACGACTTTGCAGCCCATGCATTTGACCTCGAGCGGCGTCCTTGATGTCTCCCTGGCCATCGTCTTACCGAAGGCCTCGTCGAGTGTCAATAGGTTTATATAGTCTAGGCAAAAGTGGCTTTGGATTAGGCCAAAGCTTCCATTTGTTGCAACGAAGGAGCTGTGAATCAAGAATACAGTGATAATCATAATGTCGGGCTAGGCCTTGAGATCTTGCAAGTATATGTTGCCTCCTACAGAAGACTGGCGAAATAGATCAGCAAGAGAATATGCTACAGTGGCAACCTTTTAACAGTAGAACTCCATGCAAAGCAATGCAATTGAATAACCTTTCTTAAATACAAGCTTACAGATTTGGACAAATGTTCCATCACTGGAAAAAAAAAAACCTACTGTACTTTCTTGTGTTTTATATTTTAGAGTGGGAGCTTGTATTGTGAACTTCATAGCCAAATGGGAGGTTGTGGCCGTCCCTTTTTTTCATCATATTGCTTAATTAGAAGTACTATGTAGCTATTTTACTTAGAAGTCTTCGTTTGAATCATAGCATTCTGAAAAAGTGCATGGCATGTGTCTGAACCTGCAAACAGGAAGCAGATATGTAACTAAAATTGTGGACTTCAAATCTCAAATTAGTTTGGAGGATGCGGGAAAATAGTTGCTCTAGGTTATAACTGACGGAAATGTTGCTTAAGAAACATTCAAATTGAAGTTGATAAATAAGATTAGGCCTTTCCAAGACAATTAGTACAAAACATTCCCAGTATATGCATGGGTGATGACACTTAACACACCTGGATGACAGATCATGGCGTGTGCACTTCAAACGAGACTCTAGCTGCCTCTGGTATTGATTAGTGCTACAATCCATCCTCAGCATGGTTACGGATGTATTGCTTCAAAGATCAGTAAGACGAAATCTTATTTTATAACATTGATCAGACCATTAACAGTAGGAACCACAAAATGTAAACACATTTTAGTCTGCAGAGGCCAAAGGGATGAACACAGACCTCTGATGCCTCTATTGTCAAGTATCAGAATACATAGGAAAGCTGAGAAGGCAGATGAAAATGTTGCATATTGCGATGGCACACATCCTTCTTTACAGTATCCCAAATTACCATAATTTTTTTATTCAGATTTGCATCGAGGTAATAAATTTGCAAAATGAGCGAGCTACCAATTTTTGGACATTGCACGGTATGATAGAAGACAAACATCACAAATTTATAACAAAAGGAGAGGGAAACATGGCAATGACCGAACCTGTAAGGCTATATGCAAAAAAAATATTAAGAACAACTCATGCTTATGCCCAACTGAGTACCTGAGGTTTTCTCAGTATCAGTAAACACAAATAGTCACTATGCAAATGAAACCTTCTGCAGTGTTAGCGGATTAGTGTACGCTAGGCCCGTTGGCCTGCTTGTAAGCCCGTTTGTAATGTGCTGGACGCGGTCACCATGATCCGATAGACACGGTCACCGCTCTCCCACAACATTGGCCACGCCACGCACGTCCCCGCTCTGCGCTGGCTCGCGTAGCAGAGTCCGTTGAGCCCAAGGCTCTTCTGTACATGTATAAGATTGTACACCAAAGATCAATACAACTTGTGGTTGATCATTCTTCCTCTTTCATGGTATCAATTACTGGTGAATCCTTCCTGAATCCCTTCGCCATAGCTTCCACCGCCACCACAGCTTCCATAGCCGCCGCCTCCATGGCTCCTTCCTCCCAGCACTCCAATGACTCCCTCAACTCTGATCTCAATCCTCCTGAGCCCGCTGCTGCCTCTATCATCCAAGTCATCAACATCCGCTCACATGTTCCCGTTATCCTCGATCTTGATGAGGGCAACTACTGACAGTGGCGGTGTTTCTTTGATTCCATCCTTGGCAAGTTCGGGTTGACGGCGCACGTCCGCTCCCCCACCCCTACACGCCGAGCGCGACGCCGAGTGGTAGTTGACGGATCCTTGCATCATCAATTGGATCCTCACCACCGTCTCTAAGTCCGTCTTCGACATCATCCACAAGCCGCACCTCACCGCCTTCTCCCTGTGGTGCGAGGTCGAAGGCCTCTTCCAAGACAACAAACTCCAATGTGCTGTCTATCTTGAGTCCGAGCTCCACAGCACCTACCAAGGTGACATGTCCATCAACGAATATTGCACCAAGCTGAAGCGCCTCATCGATCAACTCCGCTCGATCACCATCCGAGTCAGGTCCTCAACCTGCTCCGAGGGCTCAATCCTCACTATCGCCACCTCAAACCAGTGATCACCGCCTAGTATCCACCCCATACATTCACGAGCGCCTGATCATTCCTCATCCTTGAGGAACTCAGCCAGAAGAATGACGCCAAGGCCGATGCCAATCAAGCGCTCACCGCTGGGCATGGATTCGACACCAGCAGCTCCAGCGATCCACCCTGCGTCGCCAACTCCAACGACAGCACCTCTAGCGCCGGCGGCTCCCGCAACCGCTACCCCAAGAACAACCCCGGGTGCGGGTGCGGTCCGCGCGCAACGCCCCTAGGCACCTGCGGCCCCCAGGCGTCCATGGGCTACAATCCCTAGACGGGCTACGTGCAGGCTTGGCCTACCTAGTTTCGTTCACCCAGTGCCGGCGTCTTGGGTCCTCGTCCACCCTTCCAGCCGCAGCAGGCCATGATGGCCTTCCAAGCTCCGGCCGATGGCTCCTTTGGGAACTAGGATCCTCTCCACCAGGCGTTGTCCACCGTCAGCATGCCCACCCAGCCTTTGAGCGCCACTGACTGGTACCTTGACACCGGCGCGACCACTCATACGGCCTCATCCCCTGGTAACTTTCCCCTACACATCTTAAACCCTCTTCCTCCGTGATCACGGTAGGTAATGGTGCCCAACTGCCTGTAACTCATCAAACCTTCAGCTCCATCCCCACTTCATCTTCTCTATTTTTGCGCAATGGTCTTGTTGCTCCTTCTCTAATTAAGACTTTGATTTATGTTCGGTGTCTTACTCGTGATAACAATGTTTCCATCGAATTTGACCCCACTGGTTTCTCCATTAAGGATCTTCCAACGCGGGCGGAGAGGCTCTGATGTGAAAGCCACGGTGACCTCTACCCTCTCTGATTGTCGGCTCATCAAGCTCTCTCCGCTTCATCGTCCTCGGCGGTCTCCTTGTGGCACCAGCGCCTCGGCCATCCTAGACATCATGTTCTTTCTCAAATTTTAGCTGGCTTTGATTTTAGTTGTAATATATCAGTGGCGCACTCTTGTTCTTCATGTCGATTAGGCAAACATGTTCGTCTTCATTTCAATGACTCTACATCACATACATATTTCCCTTTTCAGTTATTACATTAAGATGTTTGAACTTTACCTGTTGTTAGTCATTTTGGCTACAAATACTATCTTGTTGTGCTCGACGATTTCACGCACTACCTCTGGACATTCCCTCTGTGGCAAAAGTCTGAGGTCTTGCCTACCCTACGCGCATTCTTGGCCTACGTCCACACTTAGTTCCGCCTACCTGTTCTTGCTCTACAGACGGATAATGGGAAGGGGTTTGATTCCACTACCTCTCAGCACCTTCTCGCTGAACATGGCATACAGTTTCGTCTTTCTTGTCCCTATACCTCACAACAGAACGGCAAGGCCGAGCGAGTGCTCCGCACTGTTAATGATTGTGTTTGAACAATGCTTCTTCATAGTGCAGCTCCCCTGGCATTCTGGGTAGAGGCATTGTCCATGGCGACATACCTCATCAACCGATGACCCTGATGCGCCACCAGCACCAATACACCATTTGCCCTCCTCTTCGGCATCAAACCTACCTACAACGAGCTTCGCTTGTTTGGGTGTCGCTGCTTCCCCAACCTCACAGCCACCACGAACCACAAGCTCAACGCCCTCTCCATGCTGTGCGTCTTCATTGGCTACCCCACGGACCATCATGGCTATCGTTGCTACGACATCGCAATGCACCGGGTCATCACCTCGCGTCGTGTTGTCTTTGATGAATAGGTCTTCCCATTCCATGCAGACCAGGACGTCTCCATGACTCCCAGGCGCAACGTTGTGCACGATGATCAGCTACCACCTCGACGTCCCATGCGTGACACGCCTGCACCATCAGCACTGTTGGCACCAGCGCTCACCTTTGAGATTTCCCCACATCCGATGCGTACCCGCATGGCTCGCATGGCGTTTGCATTGACGAACGTCAACAATGCAGCCACATCATCGTCCTCCACACCACAGCGTACTCCAACGCCGATAGTCGACATGGATGTAGCACCCCCTTAGGCCTTGCCATCGATGATGCCCTATTCACCTGGCGCGACATCAACGCCTACAACAAGCGTCGCGGCCACACTGGGTTCATCTCAAATGTCGTGCAGCAAGTGTGCTTGCACATGCATGCGCCGCGTGACGTGCACCTG